TCTTTGTGAATCTTTGTGAACTTGTCAAAGTCACCTTTCAGTTTTTGTGTTTAGGTGGTTTCGTTGATGGTACCTGGTCCCTTACCTCCTATAACCCTGCGTTTTTGGTCCTCTCGGTAGAAGCCTTATTCTCTAGATGTCTTCGCCATTTGTGGTGCTCAGGTTGTCCTGGATTTCTTCTCTCACGTTTCCCATTTTTCAGTGCCCCTGCTTGGAGGTGCCTGGGCCTAGACCCCTGAGCTCTGTTTTAGAACTATCCTTCAGAAAGTGCACTTCCTCTAGGAGATTCACCCTGGCTGATGTACATCCGCTTGCTCCTTTCCGAGGGGCAAAGACTGGGTAGGCTGAGTCCATCGAGACGCTTGGACCAGCTAACCCCGGAGTCGTGTTATCAAGGACAGCAGGGCATCTTTTTGGCCTCTTTTCCAGCTCGCCTGCTGTGGGTTGGCCTCGTTTTTACTTTTTCCGGCACGGAATAATTCCATCTCCAGCCTCTCCTCTCTAAGGGGAGGTTCAAGGGTGAGGCCGTCTCATTCTCTGCCTTTGCTGACGTGCAGAAAATAGAGTGATGCTGCCTATTTCTGAGGACCTTCCAGACCAGGCCATCCATGGCGCTGTTCTCCCAAAGCCCAGGGAGGTGTGGCTTTGTGTTGCCATCTCCCTCCCTATTCCTGTGATGGTTTGCGGGGGACAAATTTTACAACCCATCATCCATCACAGCTGCAGGCCACCCAGCAGCCACTCTTCTCCCACTTAAGCTGTAGTGACCAGAAAAAAAATAATCAAGTCCTCAGTGAAACACAGAGTGAGTGGCTCATCTGAGAGCTCCGTGGTAGGGAGGCTCTGGCCTGAGCGTGGTTCCCGCTGGGATGTTCTGGATCTGGGAGGCTGAGGAAGGACCACAGACTAATTTCATTCCTTTAGAAACTGAGTGGAAATCTACATGTGCCCACGTGAGCACAGGCTTACTGAATGTAAAACTTATTTGCCTCCGATTCCAATTAATTAACTCCCCGTGGGAACCTCGGCAATCCAGTGCTTATCAGAAGCTCCCTTTGGGCAGGGTATGTCCGACAAAATACCAGTGAATTAACTATTAAGGCAAGTTGATAACAAAATCTTTCAAAATATGTTGTTTTGTGAGAGGAAACAAGCACAGTGATGCCTTGAAATGGCGTCCAGAGGAGCCGGCCCAGGGTTCGGACAGCCAGGGCCTCCTTCCGGACTGCACTCTCCCAAGGACTGGAGTCCCAAAGGCAAGTTTCCTCCTAAGTAGCTGGTAAGAGGAACCCCACTTAGCACCCCACTTCTGAACTGCCCTGAGATAATGCCCACTGCTCTTACCAACAAGAGAGAACTTTTCAGGTAAAGGGATTAGGAAGTACAAATTGGCAGTTACGAAATAGTCCTGGAGCCGTAAAGTGCAGCATAGGGAATATAGTCAGTAATAGTATCATAACTAAGTACGGTGCCAGGCGGGTACTAGATTTATCCGGGTGATCACTTCGTCAGTTATAGAAATGTCTAATCCTGGGGTCGTGCACCTGAAAGTCATGTAATATTGTATGTCAACTGCGATTGAAAAATAAGAACTTATTTTAAAAATAAAAGGCAACAAGAAAAGAGAGAGAAATTATAGTCTAGTGAAAAGGAAGGCTCTGTACTCCAGCAAAAGAAAATACTTTAAAATAAAAAAAAAAAAACAAAAAGATCTTTTAGGGAAGTTAGTCCCCACCCCACCAGCTAGAAGGAGGATTTTTTTAGCTCTCACCTGCAGCGAGTAGTAACCATGAGGCAATTCCACTAGTTTTTCTGGGCCTTTGGCTTCACATCTCCAGGCCTTCTTTGCCCCAGGAGGCCTTGCGGCTACTGGATGAACCGTTCCTGTTCCTGATGCTACAGCCTCTGCAGCGGAGGCAGGGCTGTGTCACCCCAGCGGGCAGGGTGCTGCCCTCTTGGACACGGACAGGGCAGCCAGCATTCGGTCCTCAGGTGGCTAAACACAGTATCTGGGGCCTATCTGTTCACCCAGGGATTCAGTTTAGGCCAACTGTGATTTTCTGATTGCATCTCAGTCTGGACCTGGTTTTTCAGGTGAATAAGTTCTCACTTAACATCTGATCAGGACAACTTTGATACTTGGATAAAAATGAGTTACGAAGCAATTCGTCAGGTTCTTACAAAGATGGCTTGCCCGTGGCAGCTGTGAGAAGTTTCTTCTAATGCTAATGAAACGTTGACTAAGATTGTTTTACCATCTTGGTTCCTTCCCCCTTCTTCTTAAGTGGGATGATAAAAATTGCTGAGACCCAGCATGGGAGATGGGGTGTTTCTCTGATCCGAATTAGCATGGGCTCACGGTTTAAGAAGCAGGAGTTGGAATCACACCAACTTGTATTTGAATTCTGGCTCTGCGGCCTGGGTGTGTGACCCTGGGCAGGCTACTCCACCATCCAGAGCGCAGTCTTTCCTCTTTAAAACGTGGTCAATTCCCGTCTTGCAGGATAGTGGTGAGGATTAATATAGTAACACTAACAAAGTGCTGGTACAGTTACACGAGCAAGTGGAGAGCCAGGCGTCATGCTGAAAGCTTTTGTAAGTGCGGTGTGGGGGCAGCTCCCACTTTAGGCGCAGCCACTGTGCTGGCGTATCACTGGAAGTGTTTTTGACGTTTCCATCTGCCTATTGGAGGGGCAGAGTGGTGGATTAGTGTGGAGCATGGCTCTGGGGTCAGATGGATGGGGTAAATAAATGGTCTTGCTCGCTTATTAATTACATGGCTCTCTGAACCGATTTCCTCAGGTCTAGATTTTCAGAGTTGTGGTGAGGACTAGCACTGATGGGTGAGAAGCACCCCGCACTGATCTGACACAGAGGAGGGGCTCACTGCCGATTCTGTTCTTCCCCATGCGGCCTTTGGTCTCCGGCTGTTGTGGTGGAATCACTGTTTGTGGAAGGAATGGATGAAGTAGCAGTCTCATACGCGGGAGTGTAAGCACAAAGGCAGGCACGGTGGCTTATTTGAAGGTTTAAAAGAACAGACATAAGTCTTTATCAATGGGATTTTTTTAACATTTTGTATTATATCTGAAGGTTAATTTAGTATCCAATGAATACGGCAGCTATATGATCATTTCCTGCCTGTTAGATATGCAAGGTTATTGATTAATTTTATAATGAAGAATACAGATTGGGTTTTAGGATATTCAATAATTAAGATACAATAGGTTAAAATAATTTACAATTTTCTTATATTTGGGGAAATGAAAAAATATTTTAAAACCTTGACTAGATCCTTAAGCAGAATTAAAAAGGGAAAGAATGAAAAATGTAATTAGATATGAAAAGTGCAGCTCTGACAGGAAACGTGAGACTTTGTGTATGTCCAGATCTATCAGTTCTGCATAGCTTCAAAACAATTTCATGATAACGTTAGTCACTCAGGACCGAAGGAAACCATTCTAACCATCTTGAATGAGTTTGTCATCATCATTTTTCTGTTATCAAGGAGTCTCCAACTTCCAAGCGGTGGACCAGTACCAGTCCAGGCCTGTTAGGAACTGGGCCGCACAGCAGGGGGTGAGCTTGAATGTAATGCGCTTGAATCGTCCCGAAACCATGTCTGCCACTCTGGTCCGTGGAAAAATTGTCTTCCATGAAACCGGTCCCTGGTGCCAAAAAGTTTGGGGACTGCAATACTGACAGCTTATAAATCCATCTCAATTATAAGTAGTAAACAACACTTTGTTAGACCACTTCAATAAGCATAACACCATTTTTTAGTACAGTATGACTCTGACACCTTTAAATTAAAAAACGACCCAACTTTAGCAAGAGAGAAATGAAGTTGATAATTATCTGGCCAGCGTAAGGTATGTGCTCAGTTTGGATCGATTAGGTTTCAAGGAGATTTTGCGGTCTATTGGAGTATTAGCTGTGGGCATGGCCAGTGTTCAACAGATAATTGTCACATTTATACTCCCCTCTTTTATAGACTTGGGACTTACTGCCTGTTGCAATGAAGCAAAATCTCATGTACACATGCATTTGAAATATTTACAGCTTTGAAAAGGTGGAAACCACAATTAGAGGGTCCCTAGAATTAGAAGAATCAGTGAAGCTGTTTAGATGTTTTGAATTTTCTTTTCTTCTTGACTGAAGCCCCTAAGAATTACATGTGGAATTGGGCCAAATATATTTAGATCTTGTTGAGTTTTTATTTTCTTTCAAAAAGTAACTTATGTATGATAACTAGTTCTTTAGGGAAAGCTTTCTGAACCTCAGAAATATGCCCAGGAATTTTAGTAAAACATGGATTCCTCTTATGCAGGCCGTGCATTTTATAGTCGTGAGTTCCTCTACAAACTTACCTTTAAATTTTCCTCCTTTTCTTTGCAGTAGATCATGTCTAAAATGGATGGAGTTTTTGTTTGTTTGTTTGGGGTCTTTTTTTAAGATTGAAAAAAATCTAACTGACATGATTTTCCCCCCCCCCACTAAAAAAATCATTCATACCCGGAGTTGTGCCACTGACTGGCATGAGGAAGACAAAATCATAGTGTGTTAGGACTGGAAGGGGCCTTCAGAGTCATCCATCTGGTCTACCCCTCGTTTTACAAATGAGAGGCAGGTAGGCCACTTGCCTTACTGCCTGTCTGTCGCGGGGAGCAGGGGGCACGGCCAAGAGAAGAGCCCGGACTTCCTGCTGCCTAATTTCTGTGCTCTTCCCAATTCCGGCTGCCCTCAGTTTTTCATTTTGTTTGCAGTTGGGCTTTTTGGGATTTGCTGGGTGGGTTTGCGTATTTTGATAAGGAGAAAATTACCAACTTTTTACTGTATGCATGATTGAGGTGGAGACAGAATACTGTGTTACAGGAACACTTGATGCAAGACCTTGAAGTAAAACAGACTTTAACTCAGAGTCCCTTTTCTCATAACCCCAAATGAAGTCTCTTACTGTGCATCCAAACGACTCATAGCAAATGTTTTTGACCTTTCAGAACAGAAGAATCAATAACAGAAGACGACAAGAGGAGGTATGTTTGATACTGAAGCTGGCTTTGATTTGAATAATTTTGGCCACATCTCATGGATTTGATTGAACATAGATTAATTTAACTCACAAATTTAATGTAACACTGTAGCACCCTGCCAGTATAGCAGAGATTCTACCAGGAAAAGTTTTGGCGCAGAGTATGTGATCTGAAAAAGAGCTTGCCCGGGGTTCATTATATTTGCTTCTTTCAAGAAGTTTGGTGTTTGTCCTGTGCATGTGGCCTGTGGCAGTTTCCATCCTGTGGCCTTTGGGTGTGCAGTTCCCCCTGACGGGGTGACTTGCCTTCATTCTCTCAGCCTTCCTGTCCTCCACTTCCCCCTCTGCCTGACTGCTCCTTGCTCTCATTACTCCTCAGTGCTCTCCCCCTGAATTTCATATTTATATCTACCTAGAGATGAAATGTTTTTGTGTGTCCATAGCATTGAATATATCACTTTGGCCACTCTGTGTTCTTGATAAATGTCACATGTCACTCCACTGTATTTATTACTATACTAAATTATAACATTCTGACTTTTTTTCTTTTTGTAAGTAAAATATCTAAAATTTCTACCAACTCAATACAGCTTTCTTTTTATGTAGCTTCTTTTTAGCAGAAAAAATTACATGTCCAACGGCAATAATATTTTAAATTCTACTTTTGAAAAATTATGAGTTATTTTAATAAATTCTTTGAAGTACTCAGTGCTTCTCTTGTGTTCTTCAAATATGTAGTACCATTTAAATTGGTCTGATTTTTTTCCTATATCTGTTTCTTTTCATTAAGAAACTATGGCGGAGTGTATGTTGGTCTCCCCTCTGAAGCTGTCAATATGGTATCGAATCAAACAAAGACAGTTCAAAAAAGTAGGTAAAATCATGTGATATTTATTTTCTCTAAAGATTTGGTTTATGTTTTGTGAAAAATACGACGTTTGTATTTCAACTTGATGCAGCCTACATATACTTGAGTGGCAGGGGACCCCGTGTCTGTTCTTTGTGATCATTTGTTGAAATGACCTCCCCTTGCGATGGGAGTCGTAGCTTAGCTTCTGTTTGTGGTTATGCTCCAGGGGTATTTTAAATTTTTTACTAATTTCAGTGGCGATCAGTGTGAAAATGAAAGCTAACATGTCAGTCAGTTTATGGGGCTTTTGTAGAACACAAAGGCAAATTCCTACGGTATATTACAAAGATGACTGACTGATAATCAGCCTCGTGGTTAGAGGAAAAGTAACTGCTTATTGTACAGTTAAATGAAATGAGGCTCCCTCTTCTGAGTTTTAACAGTAATTGTGGGGTGGGCGAAGTGCTTTCGATAGTAGGCGTGACTGCAACCTGGCAGATAGCTTCTTGCATAAGTAAATTTTGAAGTGAAGGTTGTGGTAAAGAGTGCTGATTTACTAAGTACTGTACAGTTATCTCATGTATAGTTTTAAAGACTATTAATATGTTTAGTTACTATGCCACAGCCTTGTGCGCACAAGGCTGTAGCATATTAATTTTTAACACACTTTAGTTATTTGTTCCTCATTGGTATTTTTCTGCTTTATTATTTGAACTAGCAAATAATGTATGTCATGACTTTGAGCTGTTATAAGAAACTGGAATATGTTCTTTATAATCTGAACACTTACCTTTCTTAATTTTCTCTTTAAGATTAGAAGACAATACAATGGCTCAATAATCAAGAGGTACTGTATATTTTTCTAAATAATTGGATGTATTTAGCCTTGATGATGAATGAACTGTAGATATTATTTTGCTGTGCTATTTCTAGGAAATCTTGGGACTTCAAGATTAGGAAGGACTTTCATCTTGTAGTTAAATCTATGGAACTGAACATATTTTATTGCAAAGAGGTGTTTAATGATCGAATCAATTTTTGTTAGGGGTTTTCAAAAAATGTTTATTTTCTTTTGAATGCAACTTAATCCATTTAAAAAGAGCAAGCCAGTGTTTATCAAAAACAATGGGTTTTCACTCTTCATTGCCTTTTAAGGGTCTAGGACCTTGGACAGATCAGGGAGAGACTACAGAGGCTGGGACTGGGAGTTAGAGCAGGATCAACATTAAGTGTTGACCGCGGCCAGGAGTGAGTTTGCGTGCACAGGAGGTGTGTGAGTGCCCCAGCTCCAGTGGAGACGCGCTGTGTAGCAGCGCCCAGTTCTGCAGGTGAGATGGGTGAAGTCATAGGTCACCTTTACTGGTTGGATAGCCTAAAACAGGTTCCATGTGGACAGAAGAAAACATTGTCTACAGGATGCACTGTGGACCTGGGGTCCTGGTGAAGAGCTTGGCATTAGAATTACCAATAAGATGAGCAAGAACAAGGACCGGAGAAAATAACTTTCATGCATTAACTAGCCCCAGTCTCTGAACGATACCAAGCAGTCATTCGTAGAGGCAAAGAGCCTCAGCTCACCTGGTCCAACAACACATTCGGTGCTTGGATCCCCACTGTCTTTCAGTCTCACCGAATGACCTCTTGCCTCTTTTGAACCCCCATTGATCAGGAATGCTGTCTCCTGAGATTCCTGAGAGAGCCCGTTCTCCTTTGGGAGCCATTCCACCTTGGATTTGAAAAATGCAGGCTCTTTCTCTTATGAGCTGGGCAAATTACTTACCCTTTGCTGCTCCCATTCTTTAAATCTGTAAAATGGAACTGATGCTTAGCTCGAAGGGTCGTTGTTAGGGTCAAGTGTGGAGTAAATGGTAGCTTCAGCGATCCCTGTCATTGTCATCGCTGTCATCGTCATCATCACGATACTCTTTTTGTAACCAGCACCCAACCATTGGCAGACTCAAAACAAGGCCGATTTGATGTTGAACCAACTTCTTGCCACAGGACAGTACTGGAGTTGGTGTTCGGGATGGGGCGGGGTCACAAAATAAGCTCACAGGTGGAGACAAATAAGGTTTCCCACTGGGGCATGGGACACAGAAACTGGAACGTTTCTTCCTGGTAAGAAATGTAACAGTCTTGGGTAGCGACCTCTTCAAAGATTTTTTCATCAAGGCAGCAGCATCATGGGACTTATTTCCTAGTGGTCACATTAGAGTGTTGAGCTTCTCTAGGAATTTGATGGAGATTTTCTATTTCTCGTATTTTTAATAGAGTTCTAACCCCTCCATGTCGATTTCTCAGTTCCCTGCGGTTTCCCCTACTGCAGCAGCACTTTTATTATTTGTATCCAGTTGAGAAGATAATCTAGTTGAAAGAGAGTGTGTGTGACTGTTTACCTTCCTGAAAACAGGGTGCATTTTGAAACACATGGGAATGGAGTGGGAAATGGTGCCCTGCAGATAGACATCCAGAGACTCGGTACCTCTGCTAACACAGGACCTTAGATGCATCCTTTACCTTCTCTTAGTTTCTCTGTTTTAGTGTTTGCATGGGAGACAAGATGATTGCTAAGTTTTGTATGTGGATCTGACATCCCCAGATAACAGTCAGATAACAGTTGAGCAATATTGCTGGTAAGCCAGCCCACGTTACTTGAGACAGCTGGCTGGGATACTTCCGTCCTGCTCCTGTCCACAAATGTGTATCATTTTATTGCCATCCCTCTCTCTTCCCGGTTTTCCCTATTTCTACACAATTGACTTGGTCCTGATCTTTCTCCTGCCTCCTTTGAGTTACCCACAAAGTTTTCCAAGTGGAGAGCCTGTCCCTTTTCCTTAGTTGGTCCTTATCCGTAATGCACCTGGACTCAACAGCTTTCTGGGCCGACATAATCAGGCAGAAACCCTGATGTGAAGACTGTCTTTTGGAATGAAAAACACTTTTATGGAAAGGTGTGGAGACATCCTTTTTGGCCTGACACGTAAAAGCTTCTTGAAATAAAGCCACTGAACTCACTCAATGATCAGCGTTCAAAGTTGACTTGGTTACTTTTTGAAGCAAAGTGCAAAATGATTTCAGAATCTTAAAATTACTGCTATCACGATACAAATGTGTAGTTTTCTTCTACAGATGACTTGAGAGTGAAAGTCCTGCCCATTTAGATGCGTGCAGCCCTGCCAGCCCAGAGGGGCTTAGAGGACAGCTCTCAAACGCTAGTGGGTAGACCAGCGACATCAGAATTTCCCCCCCGGCCCCCGACATAATGTGGGTGGCAGGAGCCCTTCCAGGAGAGCCTGCCCGCAGAGGGAAGGGATGGGTTGTGGCTGAGCAATCTGTCTCTTTCATTTGGGTGACGACATGCAGCTAGGTTTGGGCGTCGTTTTGTTATGACCTGGCTTTGTCTCTTTATATAAATCTGTGGTTAGCGCTGTGCTGGTCATGCATTAAGTCTTAAATAAATAATAAGCGATGTTGAATGTGTGTTTTACTTAAAAGAAAAATCACGAAATAATTTATAGGCTTAAAGCTGATAGAGTTTTGTTGAAGTTGTACCTTTTCAAGCTTGCTAATTATTTCCCCTCTGTCTGTTACCTTTATAGCTGGCTCCTCAAGATTTAGAAGGTCTTTCGCTCCATGGGACGTTGTAATGCGCACAGACATTTCCAAGGAGATTCTAAACAATCACTTGCCCCCCACCCCCACCTCCTCAAAATTTTTAAGTCTGTAGTTAAAACCATGGGTGCATATTGAGTGATGTGGTACCCAGAAGGAAATGGTTAAGCAGTGCACTCGGGAGCGGAAGTTCCCGTGGTCCCCCTGCGGAAGAGAAGCCAACGAACCGCCGCTGCCCAGCCAGCCTGCTGGGTGCCAGCAGCCTGTTTGCCCGGACCGTGCAACACAGTTTGTGAAGATGACGTCTTTCCACCGATACTTTTTTGATAGTTTTTATATAACAAAATCCTTATTCTCTTTGTAACTTAAGATAATAAGGCCCTATAAAGGAATAACCTAAGGTCATATATTTGTCTGTTGTTTTTCACTATTTCTACTTCACATTAATTTTTAGCTGCAGAATTGTTAAATTGATTCTTACTGTTATCTCTTGTCCTTTTTTACTATTTGGTTTTCAGCTTTGTTTTAGTGTCAGAGAATTTCCTTTTTTTTAGGAACAATATGTGACATGCAATATTTAAAAAGGCACTGCTAAAAGTAGCCTGCCATGTATTCATGTTGATGAACTTTCTGTTTTCCTTAGTCCAATGCTCTGTGACTACAAACACTTCACAGCCATCAAGTCTCCCCTTCTACCCTTGAGTGGTCACAGCATTTCATCCTGTTAATTCTACCCGGTTTCAAGGACTTGCGACTGATGGTCAGTGGGATATTTGGAAAATTTCTCATTTGGTCATGACCGTGTGTATCCATTTATTATTGCAACGTGAATTACTCGATTTACCAGTGTATTTCGATAATTAAAACATTTTTATCCCTCTTTACCTGGATTTCTTATTTTTCAAAAGAACATTTTCAAAGAAGTCATACATGGCATTGTCATGTATCAATACAGTATATTGATATGTAAAGATAATGTATAAATCGATTACCATGATAAACCAAAAATTTTTATAAGAAAAGCGTTATCCTATATATTTGATCCATACAACAATGATAGGGACATCGAAATGATAAAAAAAATTTGAAGGTAAGGATCACTAAGAAACGACTATGATCGATGTCTGTCTGTCCCATACCCACAAGTCCATAGTGGTATTTAGGTGGACCATCAGCAGTTTATCCTATTAGAAATATTGGATCTAGACACTTTTTGAAAACTTTAAAAATAATTTTAGATTTACAGACAAGTACAAAGGTAGTACAGAGAGTTGTATACCCTTCACCTAGCTTCCCCTAATCTTAATCTTACCTAAACATAGTACATTTGTCAAAACTAAGAAATTGAATATTAGTACAGTACTATAAGCTAAACTACTGTCTTTACTTGGATTCTGTTTGTTTTTTCATTAATGTCCTTTTTCTGTGTCAGACCCAGTCCGAGATTCCATTGCATTCTGTTGCATTGGGTGGTCCTGTCTCCTTAGTCTCCTCTTCCTGGCTTTTTTTTTTTTCCACTCTTTCCTTATTTTTAATGATCTTGACACTTTTGAAGCCTACTGATTGATATTTGGAGGTATTTCTCTCAATTTGGATTTGTCTGGTTTTTTTTAATGATTAGATTGGGGTTACTGGTGATATTATTCCCTATGATCACGTGGTAGGGGGCTTCCGTCATACTTCCGCACTATACGGTTTCCAGTTTTTCTTTTCCGTCCTTTATTCCTTATGAGTGAATCACTAAGTTTAGACCACACTCAAAGAAGAAGAGAATTAAGGTCTGCCTCCTGAAGGAAAGAGTATCAAGGAATTTTTGGACATTTGTTAAAAGAAGCAAGTAATAAGTATTTGGGAGAGGTACTTTGAGACTCTGTAACCACCCTATTTCCCCACTGAATTTAGCCCTCATCCTTGGATGTTGCCCTCAGTTTTTATCCCTGGTAAAAACGCTATCAAGTAGCGTTTTGTACTTTCCTCATTTCTTCACTTGTATTACTTGGAATTCTCTAAGGAGTATGTATGTGTTCCTGTTCCCTATTTGTTTATGTATTCAGTCACTTATTTCTATCTGGATGGGGACATAGGTATTCATTTTGTTCTTTAGGTTATAATCCAATCCCCATTTTATCACCATCACTATTTTTTTTTTCACAAATTGTTTGAGCTTTGACCATCAGTAATTTTTTCAGGTTAGTTCTTGACAAACCCCATCCCTTTCCCCCACCTTAGGTTGCCTTTTAATAGCAAGCAGGCCTGTGAGAGAAAATTCCAATTCAAACCAAATTTTATTCTCTTCCATATTATGACAAGCCTTAATGTTTTCCTTCAACTAGACATGATTTAAATTTAGAGCCTACTGTTTATTGTATGTTAATCATACTTGCCACCCACCTACCTATGTCTTTAATGATTATAGCCTTTAGTGGGGACTGAGAAACCTTGAGTGAGAGTCTCAGAGAAGAGCAACTATTAACATTAAGATCTTTCATAAGAAAAGGGAGAGACTGGTGAAGTCTTAAAAATGCCTAAATTTTAAGAGTTAATATCTTTTCAAACAATAAACTTTGGTTCTTTGCAAGATTATTCAAAAATAGATAAGGGAGAGGTGAATTTCAGAGACCTTTGGATGAATAAAATTATCTTAATTTGAAAAGGTTTCTTTAAGAAACCTAAGCTAGGAGACATTTATTCCTAAACTTAGTTAAACTAGGACATTACTAGAGTTTAGTTTTGGGAAAACCGTTTGAATCTCTAGAATGTAGGAATCTCGTTTTGGCAAGTACAGCCAACTTCCGGGGTTTTAAAATCAAAGAGCGGCTGGCCCAGCGAACTGAGAGTCTTTTGCAGACGGGACCTGGAGTAGGCTCCAGAGAGAGGCAGAGGATCAAAGGTGCTGTCAGTACCATGGGGAAGCTGTCTCTCTGAGCTGAGTTGGTACGAGCTTGAAGAGGGAGATAAAACAGGTTCATATTTTGGAAATGGGAGCTTTGCGTAGTTGTATCCATGCCCAGGGTAATGATTATTTGAGGAATGAAGAAGGGAGGTAAGGAACTCATTTCTGGGAAGGGAGTTTTCATTTTATTTATTTTTATATAACACATGTGATAAACAGTGCAGGATGGTTCCATAGACTTGTGTTCTAATACCCAGCTGTGATTTCCAGTCATTTACCACCCGTGACCAGCTGAGTCCCTGCTGTGCCCAGGTGGGCACTCATTACCGAGGGGACGGCCCGAAGACCCTGCTTTCGCACGTCTTCAGAACAGCAGGGTAGCCTGGAATGAACACAGCGCAGCTCAGGGTTGGCCTGGATTACTTTGGCATCCGCATCAGACTGGCAGGTCAGGAAAGACCCCCCCCAGAGCAGTCCCCAGTGGAATCAAAGGAGAGCGTGAGCTGGCCAGCTTTAGGCAGGAGTGGCAAAGCTTTGGGCAGAGACCTGCAGGCGCAAAGACACAGCCCTGAAGGCCCTGGGTATCCTGGTATCCTGGGAACTGCTTAGGAGTTCATTCGGGCTGGGTGGGAGGCAAGGGAATGGGGTGGCCGGTGAGTTTGTGGGGAGCTCCAGGGGCCACGGGGATCTGCGATCTGCGGGAAGCCATGGGGGAGGGAAACAGTCGTGGCACCTATGGGCTGGGTCTCCCCAGGTGCCCACCCGCTGGGGGCCGCCAGGGTTTGCTCTTCCTGTCTCTTCTAAGTCTGGTTTGCGGGTCTGTAGGAGGTGTGAGGAGCGCAGTTCTGTTCTGTGCCGGTGGGGCTTTCCCATTTACTTTACGGCACACATTCCAGGAGTCTTCAGACACAGTGCAGTTGGTGCAAGGTTTGGACAACAACTAAGAGCTAGTGCAGAGCTGAATGACACGGCTCATCTCCTCCTCTCGGGAGCACCCCTTCGAGACTGGGAGAGCTGGCTGTTCCCCCCAATGCACAGAAACCAACACAGAGTCAGGGCAAAACATGAAACAGAGGACTATGTTCCAGACGAAACCGTCCAGCCGTAATATGAGACGCGTCCCCTTAGCGCAGGCCCGTGCCTCTCCCAGCGGCAGGTATAACCGGCTGCTGAGAAATTAGGTTTTTGATAATGTTGAGGGCACCCTGTTACTTCACATATTCTCCCGTTTCCTTCTCCAATGGAGTCTAACACTTAGAAAATTTAGCGTTCAATTACCTGTTTTGCATAGTCTCTAAATATTTATTATTAAAATATTGTGTACTCCTTAGAAGGCAGGCACTTTATATATTCTTGTTCATTCTCCTTAGAATTGGGTCCCAGGGACCCCCTGTCAGACGCGGCCTTACGTTGGTATGAAAGCAAAGGACTCTCCCAGAGTGGGATAGACTTCTGGGGCACCTGTGTCCCCTCCTCTGGAGAAGTAGTATCTTCGGGACAATTTTTAAAGCCTCTGGCAAGACATTTGACTTTTGTGCATCTTGGAAGTTTTCAATGACTAAAACATGAATGCGAGGAGAAAATCTAATTCTCTTCTAAGATTCTTAGGAGGAATGATTCATTTATTGACTCATTGATCCAACAAGCCTTTCCTGAGTGTCTGTTTATTGTTCTAGGCATTGGAGATGTAGCAGTGAACAAATTAGAAAAAAGTCGACCTCATTGTTTTACAGAGGGGAGACTCACTAAACAAATAGTATATGTGTAGTTGTCAGAGTAACAAGTTCTATGGGGAAAACTAGACCAGAGAAGAAGGAATAGAGAGCTAGCAGGGAAAGTGGGTATTATCATTTTAATCCCCAAAAGAAATGACCAGGGAACTAACTACTCATCAAAAAGGTGCTATTTGAAAATGAAGACCAGAAGGAGAGTAGCTAGCTACCCATGCGGGTATCCCACAGAAGAACATTTTAAAGAGAAGGGGCAAGTGAAGAAGCCTCATGCACGAGTGTGGCCGGCACATTTGAAGAAGAGCAAAGGATGCCGGGTGGCTGGACAGAGCTCACCAATGGGGGAGTATCAGGAGAGGCCCGAGGGGTGCTGGCGGGGGGGTTCCGGAGGAAGATTAGGTCTATTGTTGACTGGTGGCTTTTTAATTACTTAATTTATTTTAAATATTTTATATATTTAAGGTATACAGACATGATTTGACACACATATACATAGTGAAATGATTACTATTGTCAAGCTACTTAACATATCATCTCACATAGTTACAGTATTTTGCTGTGTGTAGTGTGGCCTCTGTGTATAGAGCGTACCCATGTTTTAGGCCCCAACTTTCAGGAAAAAAATTTTTGTTTAAATTTTTAAATTCAATTATTTATTTATATATAGAAACAAACCTGATGATCATATTCCAGGGTATTATTTTGCATTTGGGTATCATTATTGCTTCCTAGAGTTGCACTTTTAATTCATAATCATAAATAAAAGAATTAAAAATATTTATATAGGTACAGAATTAGTACTACCCATGTAAAATGCACATTCTTATTTTTCCCTTAAAAATTTGGGCACAAAAGTGTACATTATACACGGCAAAATACAATACTTTGTGTGGTGAGATCACTTGAAACCTACTCTATTAGCCATCTCCAATAATCAAGGCAGTATTGACTATAGTCACATGCTGTACATTAGATCTCCAGGCTTATTTGCCTATATAACTGCAACTTTGTATTTTCGACTAACATCTCCTCATTCCCCCACTCTCCCAGCCCCTGGAAACCACCATTCTATTCCGCTCCTATGAGTTGGACTTTTTTTTTTTAAAGATTCCATACCTGAGTGATATCATACAGTATTTATCTGTCTGCCTAGTTTATTTTACTTAGCAAAATGTCTTCCAGTTTCCTTCATATCATAAGTACGGGGATTTCCTTTGTTT